CTCCAAAAAAATTACAAATTTAAAAATCGCTAATTTTCGAAATTTTTTCAATTTTTTTTACTTAAAAGTGCTATAACTTTTTCAAAAATGAACATATCAATATAACTCTTTTTTATATAGATGCATAATATTATTACCTTTCATTTGGTATACTTTTTTCATAAATTTAACCCTTAACCTGCCCACAAGGGGGGATTTAAAATGACAACTTTTTCACAAAAAATTAATTTTTTTAACTTAAATTTTGAAAATGTTCCGGAAGGTCTGACACTTTTATATATATCTTAAATTAAAGCTAATGTAATATACTTTATCATGGAAAAAAAAAATTTCGGACTTTATTTTATCTTCAAGGTGAAAATGGCTACCAAATGCTATTATTGTGTGAAAATTCTCAATTTTATTTTTTACATTTTTAACATTATAATGCTATAACTTATTGAAAAGTGTATTGATCAATATAATTTTTTTATGGGAAATACTATTTTCTAATAATCTCTTTTTTATTCGACATACTTTGTCTTAATCAGGATATTAATAAGGAACTAGCAGTTTATGAAGCTTTTGGAATAATCCACCAATTTTTTAAAATTAAACACTATCTAAAGATTTGCATCGAAGCGTTTTTTTTTGATAGTGATTTTAATCACTGTCAGATATCATTATACTTGATCCAACTATGCCACGTCACCACTGTGCCGCGACCCCCCTGTGCTGGGTTTTTTTTTAATGATAATACTGGACGACGTTATTCTAGGAAAATTATATACGAAGACGAGAAAAAAAATTTAGCATACTCTAGTGTTTAAAAGTTTCATCAAAAACGCTTATTGCTGTCAGAATTTTTTTATTTAACACCTGAAATTTTTACCAAACTTTTCCAGAAATATTTTAAAGATATCCTAAAAATTTCGTTGAAATATGTTTCTTTTTTACCGATTTATGAGCCTTATTTTTTTTTCTTGGCACTCCAATCGCGCCACCCGAATTTCTAGCGCTAGTTTTCTTAATGAAAAAGATTTTTTTTTCGTTTTTCAAACCTTGTAGACCACTGGGACTCTGAGACAGAGTACCAGCTAGGCAATGTTTAGTATTATATTATAATTATAAATATAAAATATTTTGTTAAATAACTGTTTGAAATCGACACTACAATGTTTTAGACTCACGTAAGGACTATATGGAAATATTTCTACAAATTTTTTGTTTATAATATTTTAAGAATGTTACATTATTATCTGGGTTAGTAGCTTACTATCAAGATTATTAAATTATACTAGATTTATAATTTTTTATTTAAAAATTAAGGCGTAAATCTATATTTTTAAAATTGAAATATTTTCAACCATCAACATTTTCAATATTTTCAAAAAATTTCAATGAAAAAAAATGTTTTAAGCTTAGCAAAATTATAGTATTTTTATGATTTGTTATAATTGGGTTTGACAGCACTGTTTTTTTTATCCATTGTTTTTACAACTATTTTTTTATTCTCACATAAACTGATTGTAGCGTTAAAAATAAATATTAATTTGAATATTTTTTCAACATTTAATTATTACAAAGGATCTATGTGTAAAATACCTCTAAAATTATGGATAAATAATATTTCTGATTACATTACAAGAAGTAAGTTTTTGTGAATATGTATAATTCATTTTTTTTCCATATAAATGATTTTGGTTATCATAAAGAATCATGGCAAACCTTTTTTTTTTAATTGTAAGAAATACCATTTGAATAAGAATATTTTAAATTATTTGTTTAATTTCGACACCATTATTTATAAATGAGCTAAACATTGTATAAATTGTATAAATATGCTTCATATTGACATTAACATAAATTAATTTATATTACATTAAAGAAATAATTAATGAATATTAAGTACGTGTGAAATTTTTCAAGCCTTGAAATGAATTTATCATAATTAGAGTAATAAAAAGCAATTAATGATATTACAATATTATAAACTAAGAATGAAAAACGTTTTATTTTGCAATGAAGAACATAAAACATGATTTATAAATTATTAATAATAAATTATGTTTTCCTTATAATATCTACTATAATTATTAAAAATATTTTCTCCTCTTCCATTTATGAAATCTGGAAATTTGCACTAATACTAAACGTTTACTTGCAAAAAAATGTACGAAAATTTGCGAGCAATCGTAAATAAAATTTGTATCAGAGTTTAGAAAAAAAATTCTTTTTTTTTTAAATAAATATTTGGTTTTAATCGTTTTAAATAGGATTGAAATGTTTAAAACATGATTTTTTATGTTTTAAATTTGATTTATTTTAGTTTAAAAAAATTATGTAATAAATTGCGCTGATCTAGTTATATCATACTCGATTGGTTTTAAGTAACCGTTTAAAATAATTGTATAAAAATATTTAAACAAAATGGTGTTTAATTAATTTAGATGTTTATAATATGTTTTAATTATAGAGTTTAAAACAATATGATTTACATACATCAACCTTGATTTGCATGGTATTTTAATACAAATGTTTGTGATATTGATCTAATTATACCATTTAATATGCAATTAAACATTTTTAATTAATATTCTAAATATATTTGAATTGGAAAAATGTAGTAAAACTCTTTGACAGTCTTTTTGTCTATATAAATATTAGTACAAGTAGTTACTGTCTAATACGAAAATAAGCATTAATTCGCTACGCATATTTTACATATACAGATGTTCTAAATAACATAATAATTCTTATTATGATTTAAAATTATTGAAAGTACTTATTTATATTGAGTATTTTGAATGATTCGGAAGTGATAAATAAATTTTTTATAAATCAACAAATGATAAATAGTAATAATTTACTATTTTACAAAATTATGTTAAGATTACAATCAAAATATGATGATGATATTGAGATTAATTATAAGCCACATTAAAATATACTAATGCTTTGAAAAAATATAGATGTTCTTTTAAATAAACTTTCATTTCAATATCTTTTTTTAATTTTAATTCATTCAAATATATTTTATTTTTATTGTCTTAAAAATTTTCTTACAGTCAGGAAACCGATAACGGACTGACCATTTTCCAGATTTTACCAGATTGTATGAGACAAAATATAGGTTGGGTTAGATTTATTAAATTGGATTAATTCGCGTTCTTTTAATCCTACTTCTTACCCACTTTACCCTGTTTCTTATTATTATAAATATAAAGTGCATGCTTTACGAATTTATTTACCTTTATATTCAGATAGACTCGTTGATAAATGATGAGTTGTGATGTTCTTTGACGTCATCAATATATATTAATTTGATTTAAATAAATAAAACACTAATATGAATAGTAACATACTGAATTCATTTCAATAAGTATGAAAGACATAAATTTACAATTGACTAGAGAAACTTAGATTTTACATTTTTTACTTAAGTATGAAAAAATGAGAGAATGGACGAATAAAGAGGTAGTGTGCTAATTTTCCTATTATTTTTATATTAAACTTTTGGGTAAGGTGTTGACTAGAGGCCAGTTTTTCTAAAAATTTAATTATTTTATCCTGTCTGTTCGGTGTCACAAACACGCTTATGGTAATTAAAAGGATTGACATTAAAGTAAACATCGCTCCGAGTGAGAATATATTTTTAAAAAGTAATAAAATAATTGTTGGTCAGAAAAGTAATTAATAGTGATAATTATTTAAGTGGTCATAATCTTTTTTAAATTTTAAAAACGTTAATATCTCTTTGACTAGTTAAAATTTTATTCAGACCATTCTTTATTTAATAGTAAAAAAATATTTATAGATTCCTCTTTAACTTATAAAAGTTACCCCTAAAATGTATCCTTAAAAATAATTTTTCCTTATATTAAACTTAATATTTAAAATGACTTAAAAATTTATGTATACATTTTTTGAAAAAAATCATTATTTAACAAAAAAATGAGAATAGTATACTTATAATAAATCATACTGTATAAAATATTAATTAAAATTCCAATGTTGTTTTTAAGAATAAAAAATTTTATTTACGATTTTCGTGTTTACTGTTTGATATGGAAACATATTATTATTTATCATTAACAGCACGAAATTAAAAGTTAAAATAATAATTATTATTTGTTATTCACTTTAATGAGTTTAAATTTATAGGCACTTACTGGCAATAACTATTTAAGGAATCTGATCAATTTTTGTTGAATATTTTATTTGGTAAATGTTAAAAACTAGAAATAAATTCCTTTTTCTTGTTTGTTTTAAAAGATAACAGTTCTTGAAATTGATATTTACACATTTTAATATTTTGTAATATAAAATAATTAATACACCAGTAAATATTTTATGCTCTACGTAGAAACATGTATTTGTGTTTAACTTCTATGACCTCTGTGACCCTTGAGACGGTATCTTGAGATGGAAAATATTGCTATTATAAAAACAGTGAAGCAAAAGAAAAAATAAGTAAAATATGAAATAATTTTCATCTTATATTGTTTTTTTCTGTTATCTGAGCTTAAAACAGATAAAATAATAATTATTATCATTACTATCTAATAAAGATGTTTCATCAATTATAGATAGGTAATATTGTCTTTTATTTTTGTTATTTATTATATTGAATCATAATGTAATACAAACAATATATTTTTATAATACTATCAATAATCCTTTCTTCATACAAAAAATGATACCAATATTTTTTTAGGCTTTTTAAGATTGTCTTTCTATACCTCAACCATTTTATCTATACTAATAGTGATATTATAAAAATTAATATTATACTTAACTTTTTAAAATGTAAAATAAAAATTTTTTTTATAAAATAAAATAAATTATGAAGAAAATACTTTATATAACCTTAAAAAATATCACAGATTACAAAAAATACACAAATATATAGTAACGGACACTTAAAAAATCATAGTAAAAAATGAATTTTAAATAATAAAAATTGATATAAATTTGTTAATTTCTTGCAACGGCATATTTTTTTAATTCACAGTTTTGTTCTAAAAACCATTCACGGTATTCAGTGATAAATTCATAAAAACAGTCTAAAAAATAAAAATATTTAATACTAATCAAACCTGATAGTTTTATATTTACCATTGTAAAAATTATGAGATTTTCCTGAACCAGAAACTTCAAATGGTAAAAGATTCTTTGGTATATGGTCAAAAACGTTTATAGAACCAGATGCATGAAACATTATCTGCAATTTTAAAAGATAATCATTTTTTTTTTTTATATTACTTTACTGAATAATCGAGTAATTTGATTATGCCCATCACTAGTTTGACAGCCACAGATAGAGATAATAAACTAGATTGCTAACTAGTGATAAAGGCTAAAGTTAAATAACCACCATTTTTTTTTTGAGGCCAGAGAATTTTTTTTATATTTCGAATTCAAACATTTTAGTTAACAACTTTTTTGCTATAATAACAAAATGTTTTAATGTATTTAACACTTATCATCTTCAAAATTGCTATACTCACTTTACTCATAAGTTCTTTTCCAATAAACGGTGATATAATGTTTAATAACATTGTTACTGATGGTCCCGTATTTAAAACATGTACCATTTTCAATCGAAGAGGTAATCCTTCCTAAAATAATTATAGCTTAAAAACAATTTCGATTTAAAGATAATTTTTTTTTTAATTGAAATTAAAATGAATTACATACCTGTAAGAACTTCAAGAGTTTACTAACGGCACCTATTGGAAGTTTTAGAATATGTCGCCAGCTTAATCCAGCTGTGTTAATTATTATAATAACTCCATCAAAGGTTCCTTCAGTCAATAAAGTGCGTTCCATCCACATATATAAAACTTTAAATATGGCCATGTAATTGAGCATTTCTGGATTAGTATCCTTAAACTGCCAATATAAATAACGATCATTTTTAGATTTTAAATTATAGGTTAGATCTCCTAAACTCCTAAAAAAAAATTACTGTATCAATTATTGTTAAAAAATGGTTTTATTTTTATTTCAATTAATTTTATGATTTTATTGAATGATGTATCTATAGGATGATTATTTATAAAAATCTTTAATATATTTTAAAATTATAAATATATTAAAAAATTTATTTATACAGGATGGCCCTCCACTCACTGACAACTTAAATAACTTTTGATCCAGTTAATATTTTTAGCTGATTTTTTTTTTTAATAATAGTTATACGTTTGGTTTATAGCTATATCTCAATAATTAATTTGTTTACATTTTATTAAAAATATTAATTATTTTTAAATTTTAAATAAAATGTAAAAAAAAAATCTAAGATAGCTATTTTGTAGAGTAGAATTTAAGAAAAATTTTAATAAAAAAATATCTTATTAATATTCAGTAGTAAATATTCTATAGCATTTTAAAGTTTGTGAAAATTTGAATTTTCATGTATTATTTTACGGTATTAAACATTGAAATACGTATTGAGAAAAGGACATTAGAAAACACTATCTTTTCGTGATTACAATAATTTGGAGGTGTAACTTTTTCCATGAAAATGACATACATTTGAATGAGAGTGATAAGCAATAATTGCCTTATCAAATTTCTTATCATGGTATTAATGCCAAGGTTGTAAACTATAGTAATCACGAAAAGATAGTGTTTTCTTCTGTCCTTTTCTCAATACGTATTTCAATGTTTAATACCGTAAAATAATACATGAAAATTCAAATTTTCACAAACTTTAAAATGCTATAGAATATTTACTACTGAATATTAATAAGATATTTTTTTATTAAAATTTTTCTTAAATTCTACTCTACAAAATAGCTATCTTAGATTTTTTTTTTACATTTTATTTAAAATTTAAAAATAATTAATATTTTTAATAAAATGTAAAAAAAATAAATATTGAGATATAGCTATATACCTAACGTATAACTATTATTTAAAAAAAAAATCAGCTAAAAATATTAACTGGATCAAAAGTTATTTAAGTTGTGAGTGGTGGGCCATTCTGTATATTAAAAATATATTTTTAATTTTAAATAATATTAGCCACAAGTCAATAATTTATATTATGAAATTAAATTTGTATTGAAATTTGTTTAGTTTCATATATTACTCCATATATTAATTATTTAGTATTTTTTAGATATATTTCTATGTGGTATAAACGTAAACATAAATCGAGAAGTTGTTTGGCTCTTTAGCACTTACAAAAATACCAATAACACCTTTAAATATATTATGAAATGTTTAATATATGCATATTGCGGGTGTTTCAGTTCAAATAATTAAATTAAATTTTTTTTAAATCTTTTTAAGAAAAAAGATAAATTAATATAATCTCCAATACCTTATTTTGACTACTTATAGTAGTGAGTTAAATCCCTTAAAAACGTAAAAATGATATAATGTGGTTGATTAACATAGTACAACAAATAATAAAAGAAATTTTAACTGGAATTCTGAATCTAACTTTAAATTGTGCATTTACTTTTATATATTGTTCAACATATTTTTAACATTTAAAAGCAAACTAAGATTTTTTTTCCACGAACATATTCACAATTTTTTTTTAAACAAATTAAAATTGCACGTTCTTTATATTCTTTTTTTCATCTTGAGAACCTCCACCTCTTTTTTTACATTTTTTATTTAGAATATGTAGTTAGTGTATAATTTCAAAAGCGTAGTTAGGGTCTTTTTTTGGGCGCATAAGAAATATGTTATACTTTTACCAAACGAAAAAAATTTTATCGCTACAATGTAATTATTTTTGTTCTGAGAGAATTTATACGCTCACCACTTCTAATTAAATCCCTGGACATTAAGAATAAGAGAAATTGACTCCTAGGTTTGTTAGATTTATTTATCATTCAGAAAACATAACTCATTGTTGACATTTATCCAATGACATTACACAATTTTTTTCTTTGTACGTGTAATGAACTTAATTGTTTTGATAAAATAGACATTAAAATATTAAAATATATATAATAATTAACTTTAAAAATTTACTCTTACTGTATTTTTACATATAAATTAGTCAAAAATTATTTACGTGCAATCGTAGTTTAAAAGTACATCATCGGCACGTGGATCTAAATTACAAAATAATTGAGGAACTTCAAAATAGCATTTATAACATTCTATAGCTGTAATTCTAGCCATTTCTACGTCAAAATAACAACTATGTAAAAAAGCTATGAGTTTTTTCTCTGAAAACAGAAAACACACAAATAAAATAGATTTACAAATTAAAATAAAACATAATTTTAGTTTTATATTTGATTTATTTTTTATAGACAAATGAATATTTATTTTATTACTAAATAAATATTCATATATTTTTATATTCATGTAAAATTTTAAACGAAGTTAACATTTAAATCAATGAATCTACATGTTAATTAAAATTCAATTCTAATTTTTTAATCGAATAATGTAGCAAATACATACAATATTGGTTTCAAAATCACAAATCTCCATATTTTGAAATTTTGTTTTATTAAAAAAATATTTAAAATATTGACACATATTTTAACCGTATTTGTAATAGAAAACTTTCTTATATTTCAAGGCGATTAAGTAATTCCTTTTTGACTGTAAATGCTTTATTTTTTTTTTAGAAAAAATCAGCAAAATTAAGATGTGAAATTTTAGTATAGAAGCGGTGATATGAAAAACTATAATTTGATTGAATTAAGTATTTTAGTTGGTACATCTCTAGTTAGAACTATTTCATTCCGAGGTGACAATATATCGATTTGAATATCTTATGAAATTATTATTTGTCTCGAATAAATAATATATTTATATTGTATGTATTTTTTATATCAGTCATAGTGCTGAGTAAAAAAAAAATGAGACCTAATGAATAATAGATACGTTGAAATTAATTTTATACTAAGATGACGATTAATTACGCTATATAATTTATATGCAAAGTAAGGCAATTTGTATTAAAAGAGAACATGAGTGTGAAATATAATTTTACAACAATTGTAATTTAATTGAATTAATGTACTCTAACAATAAAATGTAGTAAAAAATAAGTATCTTGAGTGTTTTTACAAAGTACTATAAATGAATCAACTAGTAACAGTTAATTTATAAACTATTAAATAACTAGTAGGAAGTAATAATAAATTTAAAAAAATATATAGTCGAATCGTACAATCAATTATGATATAAATGTTTCAGTTATCAAGTATCTTTAAAAGTATAGTGATTTTTACCTGAAATAAAAGGTATCTGTTTTTCTTTTTCTAAACTTTTTCTTAATAATTGTATATCTTGAACTTTAAGTTGTGGATATTTTTTTTGCTCTCCTCGAAGATATTCGTCAAATGAAGTTGATAAATTGTACATATTTATATAAAATATGTTAATACACCGTTAATATATGTAATAATTGAGGTAGTTTTAAGAAATAATACACATAAAATTATTTTTTAGTAGGTTAATTATTTTTCAAATTTCAAATAGCAAAAACTAACGATTCGATTTTAATGCTATTTAATGAATGGCATTATTGAAGAAAAGTAGGCTTGTTGACCACGTATACTTGTCTAATAAGCATTTTTGTACTTCAGTTACTGCTGTTTATAAAGAAACTACGAGGAGAAGTGCAAGGTCAGTAAATATAATTTAGAATAATGTTAAAAGAAATTAAAATATATTAAGTTTAAATTAAACTAACTTAAAGTATAGTTAAAATTTGTATATTATTACAGAAACATTTTTTATTCTAGAGAGAGTGATCCTCCTACGACCCTCATACATAATTTTCTAATTAATATTCATCGTTTAGCGTTGAAAAAATAAACAAAAATTTTTATTTATTATTGATGACTAGTGATGAATAAACCAGTTAAGTTTTCGTAAAAATATATGTTCTATTGATAGACACAAGTTCCAAATTTAAGATACCCATAACCTTTTTCGGTTTTCATATAAAATGGTATTTGGATATAGAAAAATGAGGGGTTTTTCACTGCTCTCATGAATTTTTTTTATTTGTTATCAAATTTTTTTTAATTATAGAATTGTGGGATTATGTTTTTACCCTTCCTCACTTAATAATACCATTGACTCCTAGGAGTAATAAAAAGTATTAAATATCAAAATATAACACAGAATGCAATGTTCTTTACCCATGTGTTATAGTTGAAAATTGACATTTTGTACATAATAAAAGGTGCTAATTTTTCAACTCTGGACATCTTTTGATCATTTTATCTAAAAATAATACTGATATTACTACGGCTGATTAACTATAAACCAATTGTATAAAAAACTAATTTTGAATGCTATTATTAGTTTTTACTTATTGATAAATATTATTTAATAATAGTAAAAATACACTACTCAAATTAATCAACCTTTAAATCTTATAGAGTATAATAAATACCTATGCATTTTTTTTATTTAAATATATACGTATTTATGCAAGATAAACGCATATGAGTGTATTTGCAATATTTTTACAGGGTAAACGTTAATTTATAAAATCAAGTGAGGGTCTATTACGTATACCCTCAAAACACACCTGAGTAAAACAAACTTTATAAATACTTTAATTCCCGATCCCGGATAATTATAAATTTTGAAAATGTTTAAACATGTGTTGAAAAACTAAATTCCCATAAAACTAATTGCACATAGGTTCATATAAAATAAAAATAGTACAAAGTTCATCAAGGTTAATAATTATTTTTAATCGAATGTGTATAAAATGTATAATACGTCTGTTACAAAATTATGGACGATAAATAGGCATTTAATATTCAGGTGGTATAATTAATTAGCACTAATATCTTTCGTTCATATACTTAAACGATCTTTTTATTAATTTAATTAACTGTCAACAATAGATTACAGCTAACAATTTAATGATTTGCTATATAATAAGTCATAAAAACTAAATAAGAACCATTCAAAAACTAAATTATAGGAACATAATTTTGTTGAATTTATACATTTTTAATTGATTTTCAATACTAAAAAACGCATCATATATAATTAAAATTGTAATATTTAAGAAATAAAAATATTTTTGTTAGTATACATCTTTCGTTTAATTTTTGTTGATTTTATATAATTTATTTAAATTTTTATACAAATATAAGTAGTCACAAATAATTGCATCACAAAAATTATAAATAAATTATATAAACTAGTTTTTAGTTAATTGCTAATGTAAAAATAGAAAAATGATTACATTTTTTTGCAATTTATACTTTATTTTTAAAAAATTTAAGTTTCTATACATCATTTTTTTCTTAAACTACTATTATCTATCGTTAAGTGGAAGTTCGGCCAATCCTTATCAGTTTTTTATCCTTATATGACTAATGTTTATGTAGAAACGAATACAAAAAATTTTCATCATTTTCTAGCAAATATAGTAAAAGATATATTATAATATTACAATGTGATGTTATTACATATACTACAGAGTATATGAGTATGTCACTAGAAGTACAAAAAAACCTGAGATTCTAATTCTTATCTTGGTCAACAACTTGATAACTAAAGTAATATAACAGGAAATTTTAAGAAGCGAAAATAAAGCTTTTTATTAGGCTTTTATTTTAAATTCACAGTAAATACAGTAGAAACTATTAAGTTTTATTTTAAACTTACATGACACAATTTATGTCAATAATGAGTACGATTTCTTGAAATATTTTCAGAATAACTTTTAGATCTGAACTAAATTTCTTCTCGTTAGGCTTCAACTTATGTGAGAAAATTTAATTTTTATATATTTTTGAATTTTTTTATTAATAGCTATTCTTTAAAATATAAAAATGTACATAAAAATAATACAATTTTTTTTACCCTAATTAATAAAAAATAAAAAAGTAATTTGAATTATGAGGCATGATTTTTTGCGGCTGTGTTATCAAGTTATACAAACCGAAATTATTAAAGCCTGACGAAAAACAATTTAGTAATAACCTTTAAATATTACTTCGATTGTTAAGTTGTTGATTAAGAATTGGACTCTTAAGTTTCGCCGTATTCTTTATTACATGTATAAATGCTTGATATAAAAAAATTTTGCAGAAGAGTGTAATTGGAGGGGTGGTACAATCATTAAGTATGTTTTATTTCTTCTTTTATGTTTTGTTTTCTTGTATACCAATCACGGTACGAGCATAAATTTTTATATGTAATTTCTGGAAAATAAATAAAAACTTATTTAAATTGCATTCATATTTATAACATAAACTTACATATAACAATATATTTTATTTTTATGTGTTTAAGACTATTTGTAATTTAAAAAGATTTATTTTTAATAATTACCGGATAGTATAACATGACTTTTGTCGTTTCCTTGGATTTCTGATGGTATGTGATCAATAGAAGTATAATTTTTAAGTTCTTCTCCTTCTACAAATTTTACCTGTAATTATTACAGTAATGTTTTACATACTGTTCAATTAAATATTATTATACTTAGATCATAAATTAAATTACTTTGTCTTTAATACTACTACTCGCAAAACTAGTTAGTGAATTTATTATTTTTGCAATAAATGACCAAGAGTTTACGATATATATTCCTTTCATTCGTACAGGTAGACTCCCCTAAAAAAATAATAATGTTATATTATTCTTAAACATAACAGGTCTTTAATCCTAAATACATAACATATAAACTTTGATTTACTATATTAATGAAAAATTAAATTTTTTTATTGTAACCAAGGCTTAAAATATGAAAATAATTGTTGTTTAACTTTTTTATAAAGTTATTTAAATGTGTTTATTTTATTGATTAATAATAACAAAGAATATTTTTTTTATAACATTTTTGATATAAACATTATTTATTATGAAGTGTTGTTATAAAATGGTTAATGACGTAATAATAATTTCTACAAACGTCATTATTATATTTTAAGCTTAATTTATATAAAGACATGATTAAGTTGTGAATAGAGGCAAACCTTCCATGGCAAATATAATTGAGTGTTAATGATAAATTTTTATTTCGATTGGAAGAAGTAGTTAAGATATTCCTATTGTATATAAATATCTCAATAATAAGAATAAGTCATTTAGAAGTAATAAATCATTATCGTAATAGAATTAGATTAGAAATGAGAGCTTATCATTTACATTTAAAACTCTAATTTTCTAAGTCAATCACGGTGGGAAATCTTTAAGCAGAAGATGTACCAGATGATTGAACATAAATTTAAATAAAAAAAAGAAAGGTTAAGAAAAAATTTCAAAATTTACTTTCAGAATACAAAAATAAGGGCAAATAAATAATTTTAATAAAAGTCCGGTAGTTTCATTTTCTAAAAATTGAGGGACGATTTAGTTAAAAATTACACGAACATAATGTTTTCCGCTGAAGAAACTGAAATACTTAAGTTGGGTCTTAAAACAAGTTTTTTACCAAAAAAATTTCCGATAGAAGATCTATTAGTAGGCATTGAAAAGGGAGTTAAAAGTGTTGATTTTAATAATCAAGGCTTAGCAAGAAGGGAGTGTTTAAATTTTATACGAAAAAATTCTGTTGTAAATAAAGGTAGTTTAGAAAATAATGAAAATCATTCATGACTCATACAGGACATAAAAATAAAACCTGTTTTATTTTTAAGTCAGATTAGGGAAATTCCATAGTAATACTGATGAAAGTAAATTATTTTGATAGAGTATTAATAATACTCAATAGAGGGTCCCTATAAAGAAATTCAAAATAATTCATTAATTAAAACGATAAGGTAGGCTACAAACGTTATCAATAGTTCAAAATTAATAATTGAAGAAAAGTTCAGGTTTTGTATTAAAATTCACACCCTCAAATACCTAAACTATATGCTCTGCCAAAAATACATAATCTAGGAAATAATATGAGACCTATTGTTTAGAATATTAATGCTCCAAATTACAATTAGGCTAAACACTTAGTAAGGGTATTTTCATTTATTAAAAAATTCGATAGCTTTTTGGTAAAAAATAATATTAATATAGTTCAAAAATTATCTGGTTATACCATTCAAAATAATGACACGTTAATTTCTTTTGCCGTAGTAGCATTATTTCCGAATATTTCAATAAATATAACAATTGATTTTCCTAAAAACTGGCTAAAGGAATAAAACATAGAACAGGATAAAATAAATGATCTTATTAATATAACAAAGTTATGTATAAGTCAAAATGTTTTTCAGTTTCAAATTAAATTTTATGAGCAAACTGAGGGCACAGAAATGGGAAATCTGCTATCGTCATTTTTAGCTGAACTTTTCATTAGTAGGTTTGAAACAAATTTAAAACACACTAATGGTGATTTTCCAAAAATTTGGGTTAAGTATGTAGATGATATTTTCGCAGTTATAAATAAAGATTTTAATATGGAGGTTTTAATACAACATTTAAATTATTTTTACCTAAACATATGAACAAGAAGTAAAGGGAAAATTGCTTTTTTTAGATTTATTAGTTAAAATAGTTGGAGAAACTAAATTTTGAAATTTATTGAAAAAACTCAACACATTCAAGTACATTCCGAACAAATCGAACCACACTTGGCAACACAAATTAGCAGCATTTAATAGTATAGTTTACAGATTAGTTAAAATTTCGATGAATAAAATAGATTTCGATAAAGAACTGGGCGTTATAAGAGAAATAGCTAGATTTAATGGATATAACGGAAATGTAATTTCAAATATAGTACAAAAGTGGAATAAAAAGGAAGGACAGCAGCTAGTACACTCACTAGTGTGGCTGAACAAAAAGTAATTATATCACCTATTTTATATTTTGTTATTACTTTAATGACATGTAAGAGTAATAATTTAAGAGATGTATTAGGTAACACCATAGATAATGTAGAAAAAAGGAAGAAATCGAGCATTTATAAAATACAATGTGAAAGTTGTAATAAATGTTACGTAGGACAAACAAAAAGAAATATGGGGGTCAGGTTTAAAGAGCACTTAAGGAACATTAAAAATCAAGAAGTTGATAAATCTCCAGTGGCTGAACATTTATTGACACATAATCACTCCATTAAAAACATAAAATTAATTAAAAACGTAAATAATTACATAGAACTTAACAGTAGGGAGGCAATAGAAATGTTTAAAAATAAAAACAATTTAATTAATTTGGATCTTGGCCCACTGAAAAATTTATTATTAAACTTGTGTAAACTGGAAAAATGTGATAATGTTACTTAGTGATGATGTCACTATTTGATAAGGTCGCAAGGGGTATATAAGGGAATTTCTTCTAGTCGGCGTGTCAGTATGTGTTTAGCGTTGATAATGGTATCATTGTTTCTGAAATACGTATCCGTATTTTTTTTTTATGTGTTTTTTTTTTGTGTCTGTAACCTCTTTTTCTCACCTCTCGCCCAACCAATTTCTTTCAATGATATGTCAAAAGATCACAAATCGTATCTAGTCAAATACATTACCCTCAAAAATTGAAAAAATTTCCTTTGTTTCCCGTAAATGAGGAAAACCTCCAAAAAAATTACAAATTTAAAAATTGCTAATTTTCGAAATTTTTTTACTTAAAACTGTCATAACTTTTTCAAAAATGATCAAATCAATATAATTTTTTTTATAGATCTGACCCTTTATCTCTTCACAGGAGGGGATTTAAAATGACAAACTTTTTCACAAAAAATTTACTTTTACACTTAACTCTTGAAAGTGTTCCGGAAAGTCTGACATGTTTATATATATCTTTAATTAAATCTAATGTAATGTACATTATTATGGAAAAACAAATTTTGGACTTTATTTTGTTTTCACGGTTAAAATGGCTATCAAATGCTATTTTTGTGTAAAAATTCTCGATTTTATTTTTTATATGTTTAACTTTATAATGCTATAACTTATTGCAAAGTGTATGGATCAATACAATTTTTTATGAGAAATAATATTTATATCCCTTTTTCATTCGACATACTTTGTCTTAATCAGGATATTAATAGGGAAATAGCAAATCATGTAGCTTTTGGAATAATCCATCAATTTTTTATAATTAAACACTATCTAATGATTTGCATCGTAGCGTTTTTTTGGTAGTGATTTTAATCACTCTCAGATATCATTATACTTGATCCAACTATGCCACGTCACCACTGTGCCGCGACTCCCCCCTGTGCTGGGTTTTTTAGTTTTTAAATTAATATTAGTTTTAATTTTATTTATTTAAGAAGATATTTAGTAAGATCTCTTTTTATTAATAATGATACGTTATATATTGTATTGATTATTACTAGATTCTTATCTAATAGTTATAACATAAAATTATCAGATAACAGTGTGTTAGTATTTAATAATAATATACTTAACGAACTTTTAGGAACATCATAAGTTGTTGTGCCAAGTCCATATTAATTTTATTCAAATGAAAAAGTCCTATTCCATTTGCATTGAATGTAAAAACTATATTTTCTACTGTCCCTTGAGTTATCATTACATATTCAATTACCATAAATAAGTAACGAATTGTGCTAACGAAGTTAAATTTGCTATTGTCGGTGTCTTTTAATTGAGCGTAAATATGACATTCATTATTATTCATTAATGTGATAGAAAATCCCCTGTAAATTAAATGCAGTAATAAATGATACAAATAAAAATGTACAAAGTTTTATTAATTTATATTTTATTATAAAAGAAACACTTTAACGACTATTAGTTAAAATTTTCTAACTAAACATGATTATTTATAATTCTTTTATTTTTAATTTAAAAATAAAATAAATTATAGTGTGGCACAATGGATTATTCAGTCAACTTTTTGCATTATTTGCTGTTGATTTTCAGATGTAAGACCGTAACAACTAATTATTACGCCCGGGTCAAAATTTTAAAATGTGCCCATTTAGAACTACAAATAATAATAATATATTAAGCTTAAAAATAGTTTCAAATGTCAAAAGAAATAATGCTTGAGATTAAAAATCTTTTTTTTTTAAATAAAATTGGAAGAATATTCACAGAAGGTGTAAACATCCTATCAAATCATAAGGTCAACTCGATCACAATTAGTTGGGATAAAAATTATGGCGATGATGATGATTTTATTTTTAAATTAAAAAGTTAATAATATATGCTAAAACATAATGTTATACTCTAACTATATTTTTATCTTCTAAGAATTATTTATTTTTCTAATTCAAACAAAATACGTCACGAGAATCGTTGAAAGAAAATATTAAAATAGCGATGGAAAAAAATTAATATTTATGAAATACAATTTTTCTTTTTTTGAATTATTAATTAATATTTTATTGTCTATATTATTATAATATCTTACATAGTTTCATGAACTTGTTTCATTTCCAATGACATAGGATCTTTAGTAGAAAAAAACTGAGAGAGATTTTTTCTTTGTTTGTAATTATTTGTCATAAATCGTTGAGCCTTATCTACATTAAATTTAGCGCTATGTAGGAACATAATAATTTCTTTACCTAAAATATATATAAAAAGGTTATTCATTTATTAAAAATACAGTAAAAATAATTTTCTATCTACTTCTAATAGGTAAGTTAAGTTCCTTTGCTCGTTTTGTTAACTCAATTATGTCATCTACTTTTAATTGAGAATGTTTTATTATTTCATTAGAGAGGAATTCAATGTAATTTGTTTTAGGTGTGTAGGAATCTGAAAATATACACGATAGAGATAAAATAATCTTAATTTAATAAATAATTATTAAAAATTAACTTGTCTTAAATAAATATAAAAAATAACTATATTATAATATTAAAATAAAGCTATGCTTAAAAAGTATATTTTATTTAGATGAATATTTAAAGAAAATATGGAGTTTTAGTTTAAAAAATAGTTATTTTTGTTCTTACAGAACATCCATTAAGGATTATAAAATTTGTGACTACATAAAAATAGGGATTTCAAATTTATATAAATAAATAAAAATAAAAATTCTAATTTTTTTAAAAGTGTAGTTTAAAAGAGTAGTAGAATTTTTAAAAAATCACCCTGTATGTATCTATTAATTAAATAATTAAAAAACAATATGATACTTATCTTGACTTAAAGTTTTGTTTAAAAAATGAGAGAAAATTTTATAGTGGCTGTCGCAATAGTGAGAACAGTACTATCACACTATCATTAACGACTTGATATTGGTAGTACTTTCGTAGTAGTAAACTCAATTATCACCGTATAAATTTTATGATAGAATTTTATATGATAGTGTATATAATAATTAATTTTATGTCAGCCATTTTATAACACAATCACGAAAATATATCACCTCATAGACACAACGGTGTAATGACAGTATTATTGAGATGATAGTACTATAGTCATAGTATTATCATTGTGTAAACAAGGTATTGTCAATGCCAAAATCTTGAGATTAGATTGTGACTAAATGCAACAGGCACTTATGAAATTCATACAAAGGTTTCAGGAGTCACAAGGGAAATTTCAACAAATCGCATAACAAATTACTAAATTATTTGGGTGATTATAAAAAATTTCCTCTAGGTTGCGGTGAATCACTAGAGTGATTAACAGAAACGATAATTATGTGCTGTTCAGTAACATAGAACCATGTAGTAAGGATTAATAATGGCGACGAATTGTATGGAGTACGATCAAAATATGCAAAACAGGGACGTTTAGCGACTATGTCATCAATCACAAAGTGTCGTAAGTTCATCACAGAACAATGAAAAGGCGTATGCACCATACTGGAACAATAAACTTCTAATTTACCAATATTTTTTTTATATATAATCCCAATTGTGAATTGCTGTATTTTATTATTATATTAGTATATAAATCTATAAAAATATTATTTTAATAACATTGGATCTAAAACATTAAATTAAATTTAGTTTGGTTTTCTACTTAATTAAATAACAAAAATTAGTTAATAATTAATAAATCCCTTCTTCTTTGTCAACTCATTGTAAATAAGGTATGTTATTTAAAGTTAAGACTGGATGTGAAGAGTGGATCCTGCTATTATTATCATTAGTCATTTTCCGACCATTCTATTCGTCCGTCTAGGTGTAAAAATGAGACTAACTTTCGAATCATTGGTCCAAAAATTGTTATCAACCAATTATTTTGTTAATTAGATCGTTTTATATTTTATCAGCTAGTTAATATGTATTACTGTCATATAAAAATATAGTTTAAAAAAACTAAAAAATACGCTTTTAAAGCACATCGAATTAAAAAGTTAAAAACAATTTTTTAAATTAACTTAAAACAATAATGAACGAAAGATATTAGTATTATTGTGAAAAAAAGCGCCGGGCGCTCAATATACAAAAAATATGGCACAAAGCACCCACGCTTTTTTTCACAATAATACTAATATCTTTCGTTCATTATTGTTTTAAGTTAATTTTAAAAATTATTTTTAACTTTTTAGTTCGATGTGCTTTAAAAGCGTATTTTTTAGTTTTTTTAAACTATTTATTTTTCACTTTTTAGTTTCATGTTATGATAGTAGTTAATATCAATATCATGGTTGTAACGGGTAACGGGAAATCAGGGTTCGATTCCGGAGAGGGAGTCTAAGAAACCGCTACCACATCCATGGAAAGCAGCAGGCGCACAACGTGGAGGTAGTGACGAAAAATGACGATACGGGAATCATCCCCCGTAATCGAAATGAATACACTACATATCTCTTAATGAGAATAAAGCGCATTAATATATAAGTTTTAATAGTAATTAGAATATATATATATAAATGTAAAGCAACTTAAGTACGTAAATGTATCATGTACGAGGTATAGCCGTGTTTTGTGGGCGGGCGTGGCGGGGGGAACATTATACACGAGGCATATATGGCGGCAGAGGCGTCGGCTGTAGGAATATATAAATGAATATTAACATATACGTATATACGTATAAATATTAATATATATATATATTAATAATAGCGGTAACGGTAGGAATATATGATCTTCGCATAATATCGCGGCACTGTCGCTGGCGTCGACGACGCGATGTCCGGCGTGATCCTCGGGCGTCAAAAGGTTAGCATCGTAGATGACGACAGCGTGCGAGTGCGGATCGATTTGTTGGAGTTGTCACTTTGAAAACGAGAAGAAGACTACGGTATCATTAACGGCGGGACGTCGTCGGCCGTGCGGCACTTGCTGGACTTTGCACCGCGGCGTAAAACGACACGGGGCCGTGTCAAACACAATATAAATTTGTTATATATATATATATATATATATATAATTGATGACACGCGCGCGTCTACGGGTTGGAAAATATTGTTGTCTACGAGAGGTGAGCGTGGTGGGGTGAATGCGTTACGACCGTCTAGTCTCAAGGCCGTAGACACGTGTTGCGTGGAAAGTTACAAACATCCCACAACATACAAGTGAAACTAATATAAGCGTGTTAAAAATATAATGTTGACACCTCTATAACACATAAAGGACGAAAATAAAAAATATACAATAACAGATAAATGAAAATATATGTAGCTAACAAAAGCCAAAAAAAAACCTAGCACAGCGGGGTCGCGGCAAAGTGGGGACGTATCATAGATGGTTCTAGTATAGATTTAATCTGACAGTGATTAAAATCACTATCATAAGAAACGCTTCGATGCAAATCTGTAGATAGTGTTTAATTCTAAAAAATTGGTGGACAATTACAATTTCCTTAATTACATCCAGATTAGTAATTCTTTTAATTATATATTATATAATTTTTATAATTGTTTTCAAATTATTAATGATTTTTAATATGTTAAAAGTAATAATTTTTAACCAACTTTTTTTTATCCTATAAATTGAAAGTTTATAATAAAAAAAAAAATGAATTTACTACCATAACTTTTAACTCAACTGCAAGTTTGAAATTGACATTATTAAATAGAAAAAAGATGAAATTGTTAAGATTAATATGCAATCAGGAAATTTTATAATTACTATTTATAGTACATTTATCAGAGAAGTTCGATTTTTTTTACATTTTTATCGTAATAGATCATTTAAATAAAAATCATAGTAATCATTTCTAATTAACTTTTGGTGTTTAAAAAGATTCTACAATGGAATTATTCAGAATTTAATTAATTTTAATGATTAATTTTTAAAAAAACCAATAAAAAAAAAATAGTTAAAAAGATTTACTCAATTGTGAGCGTATTATTAAAATTGGTTATAATTGTAAAAATCCATCGTTAAATTCAGGTGAAACTAAAAATCATTTTTTTTTTTAATTTATGATTTATATAGCAACATGTTACAAAAAAATTTGGAATGTTATAGACTGGTAGTAGCACACACAGAGTTAAAAAATTAATAAATTACTAAGTATAATTATTTACTCTTATAGTTGAATACTTTTATCATATCAAATATAATTCGACAATAAATACTTTAAGAATATTAGAAATTAATGATTTTAATTGTTTGTATGGAAAAAGCTGGTTAAGCTACTTTTTATTTGAATAAGGAATATTTTTTCGATTTTTAAGAGTAATAACTTAAACTAAATACGAATTGTAATCATTTGAAGTATCGTTGAAAAAAGTAAGTCTAGTGAGGGTTGGCAAAATAAATCATAGCCACAAAAAAAACTACATAGTAAAATAATATTAACATGAATATAAATTTATTTTCACGAGGTGAGACTATAGTGATAGGATCCTTTATATTTATTAAAGTTATTGAATCTAAATAAGATAAAAATCAAATGATTTGATAATTTTTTTCTAACTCAAAAAAAATGCAAAATATTAATTGCCACCGGCGGATTCGAAACTCGCCCTCTAAGCGTGAAAAACACAAATGTTACCGATTCGGCAACTGTCCGTTGCTTTCGTCGGGTGATAAAATTAATAATTTAAGCTAATTCAAGTTTAAAAATTACTTTTTCAACTTTTAAAAAGTAAAATAATTTAAATAAGTTTAATTTCTTATGACTTATGAACATTATTCTATGTCAATCAAATTATATAATATTCATGAAAGTCAGTGTATTATCTTTGTTATGTATTTTAAAATAAAATACAATATTGAGAATTTTAACACAAAAATATCATATTTTTGAATACGGTATCTATTTTTACCATGAAGACAAACTAAAGTTCGAAATTTTTTTACTCATAGTATAGTATGTTACATAAGCTTTAATTTAAGATATATAAAAATGCCATTATTATAATTTTATAGTACATGACATAAGCTTTAATTTGAATTTTAAAGAACGCAGTATTTCCAGAACATTTTCAAAAGTTAAGTTGAAAAAGTTAGTTTTTGTAAAAAAGTTGATTTTTTAAATCCCTCCCTGTGAGCAGTTAAGTGTTAGATTTTCAAAAAAATTATATCAAATTAAAGGTAAAAATCTAAGGTTTTAATATAATAAAAATGATTTTGATTTGTTGATTTTTGAAAAAGTTTTAGAAGTTTTAAGAAAAATAAGTAAAAAAAATGACGAAATTTACCGATTTTAAAAATTGTAATTTTTTTGGAAATTTCCCCCGTTTACGGGGAATGAAGGAAATGTTTTAAATTTTTAAGGTAACGTCTTCAACTAGATACGATTTGTGATCTTTTGACATATTGTTCATCAATATCAGTCCAATAAGAGCTGAGAAAAAGTGGCAACAGACTTAAAATAAAAATAAAAACACATCATGGTAAAATTAATACCTTCTCAGCTTCGCGTCGAAGCTAATACAATTCACAAAAAATAATGATTATTTTAAGAGAAATTTAATGGCTAGTTTTTCTTGTATAATAAAAGTACCTGTATCGTATAAGAAAAAAAAGGAAAGAATTAAAAAAAAAAATTTCTTCATGGTTAGCTTAATTGAAAATTGGAAATCTTAGTTAATACACACAACATATAATTATTTTAATTTTAAACCTATAAAAACTTTCTAATTTTAAAAATGATAATTTTTGGTTTTTAAATGAAAATAATGGTATTTTTAAGATTACTTGACATTTAAAACATACTAAGTAAATCACTAGCATATTGACAAATATGTGTGTATATTTATAAGACAAAGCAACACACAATAAAATTAATTTAAAATTAATTTAATAGCACTGTACTCTATGATCAAAGTTTGATTATAAAAATTTAATAATTTAAAACTTTTTGTAAATTTTAAGCTATAATTAATATACGATGACATATATTCATACTATAATGATATTTAATAATAATAAAAAAAAATGTTATTTATTCAATAAGAGTTACTTACTCTTCATAAAATTTACAGTATGTGGATTGAAGCTATACAATTTTATCAATATCTATGAAGGTTATTGTTTGAAACCTAAAAAATATAAAAATTAATATAGAAATGAAATTATATCGAGTGATTCGTTTATTATAAATCACTTAATTACTCACAACATAAAAACATAATTTTTTAAAAATTATGTAAATTTAAATTAATTATGAAAATTAATTTTTTTAGCTTCGATGCGAAGCTGAGAAGGTATTAATTTTACCATGATGTGTTTTTTTTTTTATTTTTTTTTTTGTGTCTGTCACTACTTTTTCTCAGCTCTCACTGGACCGATTTGTTTTAACANTTTTTTTGTGTCTGTCACTACTTTTTCTCAGCTCTCACTGGACCGATTTGTTTTAACAATACGTCAAAAGATCACAAATTGTATCTAGTTGAAGACATTACCCTTAAAAATTTAAAAATTTTCCCTCGTTCCCCGCAAATGGGGGAAATATCCAAAAAAATTACAAATTTAAAAATCGACAAATTTTGTCATTTTTTTCACTTTTTTTTCTTAAAACTTCCATAACTTTTTCAAAAATCAACAAATCAACATAATTTTTTTTTAAACTAAAACCTTAGATATTTTCCTTTCATTTGATATAATTTTTTTGAAAATTTAACACTTAACCTGCTCATGGGGGGGGATTTAAAATAGCAACTTTTTTACAAAAACTAACTTTTTCAACTTAATTTTTGAAAATGTTCCGGAAATACTGCGTCCTTTAAACATATATCAAATTAAAGCTTTTTTTATGTACTATAAAATGAAAAAAAAAAATTTGTCCCGACACCTTATCTTCTATGTGCAAATGGCTGTCGAAATTATAAAAAAAATGTAATATTTGCGATAAAAATCACCTTTTATAACGATGTTTTTTGTACTTAAAACTGCCATAACTTTTTCAAATATTAACTAATCAAAATAATATTTCTTTATATTGAAACCTTAGGTAATTTTCTTTCATTTGATATCATTTTTTTTTGAAAATCTAACACTTATTCTGCTCACGGGGGGGATTTAAAATAGCAACTTTTTTACAAAAACTAACTTTTTCAACTTAATTTTTGAAAATGTTCCGGAAATACTGCGTCCTTTAAACATATATCAAATTAAAGCTTATTTTATGTACTATAAAATGAAAAAAAAAATTTGTCCCGACGACCTATCTTCTATGCGCAAATGGCTACCGTATTCAAAAATATGCTATTTTTCTATTAAAATTCTAGGTTTTGTATTTTATTTTATTTTAAAATATCTTATTAGGAGAATATATTGACTTTCATGAATATTATATAATTCAATTGACATAGAATAAAATTCATAAGACATAAGAAATTAAACTTATTAAATTTTTTTACTTTTTTAAAGTCCAAAAAGTAATTTTTAAATTTGAGTTAGCTTAAATAGCCAATTTTATTAAGCGATGAAGGCAACGAACAGTTGCCGAATCGGTAACACTTGTGTCTTTCACGCGTAGGGTACGAGGTTCAAATTCGACTGTGGCAATTAATATTTTGCATTTTTTTTTGAGTTAGAATAAAATTTTCAAATCATTTGATATTTATCTTATTTAGATTCAATAACTTCAATAAATATTAAGGATCCCATCACTTAAGTCTCCCTTCGTGAGAAGAAATATCTTATTCATGTTAATATTATTTTGCTATGTAGTTTTTTTTGCGGCTATGATTTATTTTGCCAACCCTCACTAGACCTACTTTTTTCAACGATACGTCAAATGATTACAATTCGTATTTAGTTTAAGTTATTACTCTTAAAAATCGAAAAAATATTCTTTATTCAAATAAAAAGTAGCATAACCAGATTCTTCATAAAGACAATTAAAATCATTAATTTCTAATATTCTTTAAGTATTTATTGTCTAATTAGATTTGATATGATAAAAGTATTCAAATACAAAAGTAAATAATTTTACTTTGTAATTTATTAGTTTTTTTAACTCTATTTGTGTGTGCTACTTACCAGTCTACAATATTCCTAATTTTTTTGTAACATGTTGCTATATAAATCATAAATTTAAAAAAAAAAAGATTTTTAGTTTCACCTGAATTTAACAATGAATTTTTACAATTATAATCAAATTTTATAATACGCTCAATTGAGTAAATCTTTTTAACAACTTTTTTTTTATTTGTTTTTTTAGATAATAATCATTAAAATTAATTAAATTCTGAATATTTCCAATGTAGAATCTTTTTAAACGCCAAAATTTAATTAGAAATCATTACTATGATTTTTATTTAAGTGATCTATTACGATAAAAATGTAAAAAAATCGTACATTTCTGATAAATTAACTGTAAATATTGTAAAATTATAAGTATTGTACAATTTCCTGACTGCATATTAATCTTAACAATATAATTTTTTTAATTCTCATAAATTTTCTATTTAATGATTTCAATTTAAAACTTGTAAGTTAAACTAAAAGTTATGGTAACAAATTCAACTTTTAGCTTCGATGCGAAGCTGAGAAGGTATTAATTTTACTATGATGTGTTTTTTTATTTTTTTTTTAATTTTTAATTTTTTTTTTTGTGTCTGTGAACGCTCAATCTCAGCTCTCGCTGGACCGATTTTGATGAACAATATGTCAAAAGATCACAAATCGTATCTAGTCGAAGACATTACCCTCAAAAATTGAAAAAAATTCCCTCGTTCCCCGTAAACGGGGGAAATCCCCCAAAAAATTACAAATTTAAAAATCGCTAATTTTCGATATTTTTTCAATTTTTTTTACTTAAAATTGCCATAACATTTTTAAAAATGATCGAATCAATATAATTTTTTTTTTATAGTTACCTTAAATATTTACCTATCATTTTATATATTTTTGTGAACATTTGACCCTTTAACAGCCCACATAAGGGTTTCAAAATGGTAGCTTTTTTACAAAAAATTAACTTTTTCAACTTAATTTTTGAAAATGTTCCGGAAAGACTGACACTTTTATATATATCTTAAATTAAAGCTTATGTAATATACTTTAATTTGAAAAAAAAAAATTTGACCTCTGGACTTGTCTTCGTGGTGAAAACGGACATCAAAGTTAAAGAAAAACGTACGATTTCCGTGAAAAAAATCTCGATTTTATATGTTATATTATTTAATTTATATTTTATATAACTTTTGGAAAAATGTATGGATCTATATTATTATTTTTTTATAATAAATATTGATATACCCCTTTCATCTGGCACGCTTTTTTTGTAAATCGGATCATACCCCTTTAACAAGGGGGGTCAAAACTTTAAACATGCGTATTGTTACTACGATATTTTCAATTTAATTTTTGAAAGTATTCCGGAAATACTGACACTTTTAAATATATCTTAAATTAAAGCTTATGTAATATACTTTAATGTGAAAAAAAAAAATTTGACCTCTGGATTTGTCTTCATGGTAAAAATGACTACCGTATGCAAAAATATGCTATTTTTGTGTTAAAATTCTGGGTTTTGTATTTTATTTTATTTTAAAATACCTGACAAGGGGAGTACAGATTTTCATAAATATTATATAAATTAAAATTGATATAGTATAGATAGTTAAACTTATTTAAATATGTTTGTTTCTTTTAAGTCGAGAAAAATAACTTTGAAATTTGAACTAGCTTAAATAGCCAATTTTTCAACCGCCGGAAGCAACGTACGGTTGCCGAGTTGGTAAAATTTATGTTTTACACGCTTGGGGTACGAGGTTCCAACCCGCATATGGCAATGAATTTTTTGCATTTTTTCTTAATTCTTTTTAAGTTAGTATAAATTTTAACTCGTTTGATTTTTATCACATTTAGATTCAATAACTTCAATAAAGATCAAGGATCCCATCACTTTAGTCGCCCCTTGCAAGAAGAAATTTCTTATTCGTATTAAAATTATTTTACTATATTTTAAGTTTTCGCTTCGATGCAAAGCCGAGAAGATATTTTTTTGTGACTATCATTTATTTTCTCTGCTCTAACTTGACCTACTTTTTTCAACAATACGTCAAATTACTACAATTCGTATCTAGTTGAAGATATTACTCTCAAAAATTGAAAAAAAAATTCTAATTTATCAATTAAACAGTTAGTTATTACATCGTCTCCATAAAGACAATTAAAATCATTAATTTCTAATGTTTTCAAAATATTTATTAACGAATGAAGTTTGATATGATAGGTTTCAACTACAAAATTAAATCATTTTACTTTGTAATTTAATAATTTTTTTACTCTATTTGTGTGTGCTACTACTAGACTATAATATTACAATTTTTTTTTGTAACATGTTGCTATATAAATCATTTCTAAAAAAAATGATTGTTTTTTCTCCTGAATTAACAATTGATTTTTACAAATATAATCAAATTTTATAATACACTCAATTGAGTAAATCTTTTTAACAACTTTGTTTTGATTGGTACATTTAGTTAAAGTAAATCATTAAAATTAATTAAGTTCTCAATATTTCAATTATAGAATCTTTTCAACAAACAACAAAAGTTCCTAGGAAATTATTACTATTACTTCTATTTAAGTTATCTATTACCATAAAAATGCAAAAAAATATTGAGCTTTTCTGATAAATTTACAATAAATAGTAATTATAAAACTTTCTGACTGCATATTGATCTTAACGATACAATTTTTTTAATTGTCATAAAATTTTCTATTTAATTATGTCAATGTCAAACTTACCAATTGAGCTAAAAGTTATGGTAAAATAAATTTTTTTTTTTTATTATAAACATTTACAACAATCAACTTTAAACGATTAACAAAATAGGTTAAATATGTCATTTTCCTTATTTTTAACTTATTAATAATCAAATTAATATTAAATATTATATCAAATCAGTATTAATTTAAAACAATTTTTTTTGTTCTTAATTATTTTTTTTTATATGTAAAAACTATTTTTTAATAATATTAAAACTTAGAAGTTATAGAAAAAGTCTAATTGCACATTTTAAAACATCGCGAAAAGTTGATTTAGAATAGTATATTTTTGTTTCTGATGGAAGTTCCTTGTAGTCCAGTGTATAAAACTTATAACTTTGTTAATTGTTATAACTTTATCAAAAATGACCAAATCAGTATATTTTTTTTTATTTAGATGCATGTCTTTATCTATCATTTGGTTTTTTTTATAAATCTAACCCTTTACCTGCCCACAAGAGGGATTCAAAATATTAACTTTTTTTTTTTTAGTTAAAGTAAATCATTAAAATTAATTCAGTTCTGGATATTTCAATAGTAGAATCTTTTTAAATATCAAAAATTACTTAGAAATGATTACTATGATTTCTATTTAAGTGTTCTATTACGATAAAAATGCAAAAAATAATGAGTTTTTCTGATAAATTTACAATAAATAATAATTATAAAACTTTCTGACTGCATATTAATCTTAAAAATAACATTGTTTTAATTCTCATAAAATTTTCTATTTAATGATTCATTCTAGTCAACGAAGGAGTAATTTTGCAGAATAGCAGAAAAAATTCCCAACAAACTTTTTTTTTTTTTGTTTTAATTAGGCAATTGGTGGATTATTCCAAAAGCAACATCAACTCTTATTTCTTTAATTATATCATGATTAGTAGTTCTTTGATTTTAAAATATAATATATGAATATATACTAATTATAATTATTAAATTTAGTATGAAATTGATATTTAATATTGTAATTTAAACGGAGAAATTATAAAAATAATAAAGAAGTTATATTTTGCTTTACTTTTACGTGTATAAAAATTTAAAGGGCTTGATACAATAATTTTCAATAAAAACTGTTTGTTACTATAAAAAAATGCACTGGACTACAAGGAACTTTCATCAGAAGCAAAAATATACTTTTCTAAATCAAATTTTCGCGTTGTTTTCAAATCTGCAAGTAGACTATTTCTATCACTTCTAATTTTTTATATTATTACTAATTATATATATAAAATAATAATTAAAAGAAAAAAAAATTTGTTTTCAAATTATTACTGATTTGATTTTTAATATGTTAAAAATAATCAGTCCAAATTTTCAATTTTAACCTATTTTTTTGGTTCTTTAAAGTTGATGAAAAATTTTTGATAAAGATTTATGAAAGTTTATAGTAAAATAAATTGAATATATTACCATAACTTTTAGCTCAATTACAAGTTTAAAATTGACATCTAGGCCTGTCAACAAAGGAAAAATTGCGGAAAAAATTTTGTTTTTTTAAAAGTTGAATTAAAATATGTATAATGACATACTAATAGTCCTCAAGATTGGAATTGAGCTTTTTTTTTAAATCCTCGCAAAAGTTCAAAAATATGAGCTTTCTTAATTTTCTCAAAAAAAAATATTTAACTTACAAAAAAAAGTTTCGCACAAAAGTTGTTTAAAAGACAATTATAAATAAAAATATAATCTTATATTTTTTCATTTAAACAAATATTTTTCGAGTTACATTACATTTAATATGAGTAATAAAATTTATATTCCATTTTTTTCATTTTACGGTTACTTTTTATCATGTTATACTTACATTAGACACAATGTTATAAATGCATATGTGTGTATGTGTGAGTTTATTTATTTATTGTATCATTAAAGTGTAGTGTATATTGAGATACAACCGATAGAGTAGGTAATTGATTTGACGCTATATTATTTAAACCCAACTAAACGCTAAATTGTACATTCCGAAATAACAATCATATTATGTCAATTGCCACCGGAATATCTGGTAATATTTTTCTTTTTCTTTGCCTTAATCCCAACTACTTGGGGTCGGCCACCCTTATCCTAAGCTTCCACTTGACACGATCTCCCACATCTTCTACGCTCACATCAGCTGTCCTCAAATCGCATTCAATAGCATCCCTCCATCTCTTTTTTGGTCTTCCTCTATCTCTTCTTCCTTCAACATTCATTTCTATAACTGTTCTTACAGCTTTCGATTCTTCTTTCCTCATACCATGACTAAACAATCTAAGTCTATTTTCTGTCATCTTATCCACGATTGACGCAACACCTATACTTCCTCTTATATGCTCGTTCCTTATCCTATCTTCTCTAGTCACTCCACTCATCCAACTAAGCATTCTCATCTCTGCTACACTTATTCTCTGCTCTACTTTCTTATCAACCGCCCAACACTATGAACCATACATCATAGCTGGCCTCACAATTTCATACTAAATTTAAAAACTATAATTAGTATTTATTCATATATTATATTTTAAAATCAAAGAACTACTAATCAGGATATAATTAAAGAAATAAGAGTTCATGTTGCTTTTAAAATATTTCACCAATTTCTCTAAAGGAAACACTATCTACAGATTTGCATCGAAGCGTTTCTTATGATAGTGATTTTAATCACTGTCAGATATCATCTATACTTGTCCCATCTATGCCTCGTCCACACTGTGCCTCGACCCCACTGTGCTACCGTTTTTTTTAGTTATATATATTTTATGATATATAATCTATAAAATACTTTTTAGTATCATTCCTTATAATTTATAAGGGTAATTTTTTTACCATAATCCACACTCAATTACTCGCAGAATAAAAATAATTTAAAAAGTAATATTTTTGATTATTTATAGTTACATATTACTCGATTCTTCAATGTGAATAGATCTTTTGATATATATTATTAAACTGAACATTTTTGTGTTTTGCTTATAATATGAAACTTTTTTTGCGAATTAATTCTGTTAATGACTGTATCAAGTTATAGAATCATTTAGATAGATTTACAGCGTGGTGTATAAATATAGGATTAACCCTTAACTTTGAAAAATGGCATGCAATGACTTCACAAGGTCTCGATCTCCTATTATTTCTTCTTACAATCTTTGTGGTGCTAATATTTTGCGTGTAAACAATTTTTTATTAGACCTTGGTTTAAAAATTATTAGCTCATTAGACCCTAAATCTCACATCGAAATAGTGTTTCATAATGCATTTAAAGTGCTTGGCTTTGTAAAGCCACTAGCTTCTAATTTCAAACTAAATTTTTCTTATTAAATTTTATAGTTTCATCGTTTTTAGCAAATTTTTGAGTATGGTACAATGTTTAAAGTCCTCATTCTAGATATGATGCCTGTCAAATTGAAAGAATAAAACGGAAATTTTTACGGTATACTTGATTTATATTAGGTATTCAACATGATTTCACTCCTGTTGTAAACAAATTCAATTTGACATCGCTGGCGGATCGTAGAATTGATGCAGGCCTAAAATTTTTAAATGGATGCTAGATGGTAAAATTGACTTACCTTATTACTTGTCAGTAATTAAGTTCTACAGAGAAATTAATGTTCTTATTTTCCATTTATTACTCAAATTAGGTTCACTAATAATTTACTAAATAAGCCAATTAGACGAATTAGGCCAATATAGACACTCATGTGTTATCTTATTAANATTAGACGAATTAGGCCAATATAGACACTCATGTGTTATCTTATTAATCTCACTCTTATATCTTATTTTATGTAGCTAAAAATATTATATATTTTGTATATTTATGTATTATATTATTTTTTTCTTATATTTTAAATAGAATGTTGTGAATTATTTTATATTTTAAGTTATTGTTAAACAACCATCTCGGGTTGTTTAATTATAACTTATTAAGATTGTGTCTGTCAATTTTATAAATGAATAAATATTCACTAAACGGAATTATAAAATAATTTTATTAATTCAATAATTTTTTCCTTTGAATTTAAAATTTTTAAGCTAAACAATGTGATACATTATTATAAAATTTAAATCTGATTTTCTACTTAATTTTATTGATTTTTAGACAGTACTAAAGTATAATGCAAGAATTCATTTAATAATTTACTGCATTTAAAATTTTATCTATATAGACTTTAAATAAAAGTTGATAAATGAGAATTGCTTCATTTTTTCTTCTCTAAAAACCATTCGCAAATTTCATTATAAGTTTCATCTAAAGATAAAAAAAAATTATTACACATTCTTTAGAAAATTTATTGTAATAGTATTTACCAGACAATGTTATATAAGATTTTCCTTGTCCGTTCATTTCTGACGGTATGCTATTTTTTGGAACATGCTTAAAAATATCTTTTTGATTAAAGAATTGTACCTATAATATTATATTTAGAATAAAATTAATTAATAGGAAAGGAATTTTTTTTATATACCTTTTCTTTCACTTTTTTTGTGACATTATTTGGCATCAAATTTATCAAGGAATACAAAAATGCACTTGTTAATTTTCCTGCATTAACAATATATATACCTTTAATTCTTATTGGTAAACTTCCCTAAAAAGAACAGAGCACATTATTATTATTATTGAAATTACAATAATGTTTTTTTTTTTTTTAATTCTAAAAATTAATTTCATATTATTATACAGAGTATACAATAAATAAGGAAACGGGTTTCTATTATTTTAATTGATTATTACAACTGACCTATTTCCTTATTTACTAAACAAAAAACAAAATAGAGTACTCATTGTTTCATTACAAAATTGTGAATTGTCAAAGATATACAGAGTGTTCAGTAAGTAATGTAGTAATACAAAAATAAGCAAAAATGTTGTTGTTTGGGTATTTAATGTATTTGACCTAAGTTGGATGTTAGGGATTTGGTCAATTCAGGAGTAACGAGGTTCTATCGGGGTTGTAGAGTCCGAGGGTTTAGAACAGTAAAGACAAGTAGATATAAAAAGATACTAATTAAATTCCTCTCATAGAGGTATTAAACGCTGAGGTATTCTTGTAGTGGCCGGGGTTTTAGCCTCTTATCTGACACCCAGTCGAAGCGTGATGTTAACTGGTATGTGCTTTAGTGGAAATACTGAGGCGTTCATGGAGTGGTGGAGGCCTCCTCTCAGACACCCAGTCGAAGTATATGACCAAGCACTAACTAGTTATTAATAATTAAATTAAATGATGTTTAAAAAATCTATTGCTTTACCATTCTTTACTCAGATTATTAATTCTAAATAAGTAGGTTAATGTAAATTTACTTATTTCTTTTGTATATATTGCGTTCAGTTTTATACTATTTATTTTTTAATAAATAATTAAAGTATTGACGCAAAAATAATTGTACTTGATATCGCTTTAAAATGTACCGACGACAACACGGGGTCGCGGCTAGTTTGTTCAAAATAAATCAAATAGAAGAATCCTGAATTCCTTATTGAATTCAGATCTTCAAAAGGAAGAGAGAATTGAGAGTCTCTTAGAAAATCAGCGCCTTTTTATATTACTTTTAATTACCCCCATCATGGGTTGTTGCCGTCAGCGTTTTTAGTGATTTTCAGTTTATTGTGTAAAATTTGAACATAACAAAATAATTACTTTTAAGATAAGATGCATAGTATACAATAATCAATTTAACATGTATATACATATATAATAGCTAGTGTACAAATGTGTATATGTTATGACAGATAAATTAATTATTTGTGTTGTAAACAATTGGTATTAAATATAAAGTAATAATTTTTTATTGATAATGTAAGATGCGTAATGCAAAACATTATGCATATTACGACAGTAAAGACACAGGATTTTACATTTCTTATTGTTTGTAATATGTGATCTGTTTTCTTACTTTTTAAATACTCTGTATAAAGTGCTTAATAAGTATCGATACGGATAAATTGTTTTAATCGATAGAAACAATAAAAACCTTTTTTATTACTTTTTGTACACTTTTATATTAAGATAAAAATAAATAGTTTTTCTTAGTTTTTTGGGTTATAAGAGTTTGACCTTTTCCTAAAATCAAGTATAGACAATTTTATAATTTTTGAATACTTATTGCTGTGCCTTTTTCTATTTACTACTTCAATTTAAGATATATACAAAAGTGTCAAATTTTCCGGAATACTTTCAAAGTTAAGTTGAAAAAGTAATTTTTTTGTGAAAAAGTTGTCATTTTGAATCCCCCCTGTGGGCAGTTAAAGTGTCAAATTTATATATACCAAATGATAGGTAAAGACATCAAGCATCTATAAAAAAAAATTATATTGATTTGATCATTTTTGAAAAAGTTATGAGAGTTTTAAGTAAAAAAATTGAAAAAATTTCGAAAATTAGCAATTTTTAAATTTGTAATTTTTTTGGAGGTTTTCCTCATTTACGGGGAACGAGGGAAAATTTTTCAATTTTTAAGGGTAATGTCTTCGACTAGATACGATTTGTGATCTTTTGACATATCATTGAAAGAAATTGGTTCGGTGAGAGGTGAAAAAAAGTGGTAACAGACACAAAAAAAAAACACATCATAGTACAACCAATACCTTCTCAGCTTCACATCGAAGCTAAAATAAAATCGTACTTAACTTAGTTGATAGAGTAGGAGTCCAGTTAGTATTACGTAAGTTTTAACTTTTAATTAATAAATAAATAATTGCTTAACAAAATATTTTTTACTCGATATAACAAAGTAAAACATGTGAAAATAGCCCATTATATAACTATCAACCGTTGTTTATAATACAAAATTAAATTCATTATTTCAATATTGTACTATTGCTTTATCAAAAACACTGTTAGTAAACAAACACCTTAAATAATTCAAAAAATAATTATACTGTAAAATCATTGAGTTTCCTTTTTTTAGTGTAAGAAATATTTTATTAATTTATTTTTTTTTTAACTTAACTTCTAATTTTAGAATTTTCTAGTTGATATAACATTTCTTACTTTTAAAAAATTTAACAGTTCAATAGCAATATTTTTTTGAATCCTTCCAATATGCCATAATCCTATACCTTTAGTATTAAATGTAAAAATGAAGTTTTCAACAGTTCCTTGTGTTTCTATTATGTATTCAATTACCATAAAAAGGTATTTAATAGTTGGTATAAACTTAAAATTCTTATAATTGGTATTTTTCAGTTGACTATATATATGAACCTCAGCATTACTTCTAGATACAATAGAAAAACTCCTGTAAATCGAATTTCCAAAGTTATTAAACATAAAATAAAAAAATGAATTAAAAATTTTGTACAAAATTCTCGATTAAGGATACTTATTTTTTTAGAAAGTCATTTTAATTTTTACTATAATTTTTAATGCTTAATTTTTAACATAACATTATAGTTATAAGTTGCAGTAAAAAAGAAATACTCGAACATTCATTAAAACATCTACATCAAAATGTTTTATGGTACGGATTATAATCACTGACAGATTAGATCTTGCTTGTTTCTTCTATGTCAAGTCCCAATTGTATCATTATTTTTTAATTAAATACAATAATGAAAAAAAATTTGTTCTTATAATATTTTTATCAGATTTTTTATAATCAGACTTATAATTTTTTAAAATTGGTTAAAATATTGGATTTCAAAAAATTGTATAAATATATTTTTCATTAGATGGGAGGTAACAATCTTTTTTGCATTCGATCTTTTGAATATTACTATCTGTTTTGATATAATGATACATCTTGGTTCAAATTGTTCTTAATAGTTTCCGACACTGTGTAATAAAATTTATTAACTCAACTTAAGAGGCTAGACAAATATCGCCATCGGACAGCCGAAAAAAACGACAGATGATTTGTCGAGAATTAGCTAGTATTGGAACTAGACGTAAATTTCCGGGCATTGTAGTGTTGTTTCACGTTGTATGCACTACAACGTTTTGTGTATTTTTATTATCCTTTTTTTTCGTGAGTGTCCGCTACATTTAATTTTGCGTGGTGTCGGCCAAATTAGCCTTATTTTCTTAGCCATTTGGGGCTCGTTACGTATATTTTATTATTATATTTTGAGCCAGAATTTTGTTTTTTTAGTGCGTCTTGCCAAAAACACGTGTGACGATTGTAAGTGTCTATTTTTTTAGGTCCCTCAACACGACAGGGCTGTTAGAATAAAACCTGTTCTGTTATATATATTTTGTTTTAAATATAATTTTTATATTATATATTATATGGTGTGATGTGCCTTTATTGTTATGACAATGGCGTAGTGCATTTTATTTCGAGGTGTCCTAACATCTTGCAAGCTAAGTGTAACTGTCTTAAACCAGTCCCTTACTCGGTGTGTACCCGCTGTGCTTAGCGGTAATGACATGCTCGATGATGGCTGGCGGGTACCAGAAGACTTTCATCGTATTTTCTAATTATAAAAATGTAGGTGTAACAATTTTTTTTTATTAATATCTTATTTTTTTTTCTCTCTTTGTTTTTTTAAATTTATAGACGAGGTTTTTTGACCGTTCGGTGTTTTGCATTCTATTAATTAAATTTTTTGTTTACTAAATAAAGTCTTCTAAATTTAACTTAAACATAAATCTTTTCTAGTTTATAAAGTACAAGAAACTGCCTTGTCTAATGTTATCCCCATTTAGGTTATGTGACAACTGTCATGAGTATTTGACGTATACCAACTATTAATGACTCATCTAATATCAGTTACAGCTTTAGTTAATTATAAGTCTATGATTATTTCGACATTTAATATTATTATGATGACATTGTTAATTATAAAAAAATAGTAGCATAGAGGGATAGCGGCACATTGGGGCCGCGGCATAGTTAGATCCAGTATAGATGATATCTGACAGTGATTAAAATCACTATCATAAGAAACGCTTCCATGAAAATTTGTAGATAGTATTTAATTTTAAAAAATTGATGGATTATTCCAAAATCGAATTTTACTCCTATTTCCTATTTATTATTATTAAAATAAAATACAATATCGAGAATTTTAACACAAAAATATCATATTTTTGAATACGGTATCTATTTTCACCATGAAGACAAACTAAAGTTCGAAATTTTTTTACTCATACTATAGTATGTTACATAAGCTTTAATTTAAGATGTATAAAAATGCCATTATTAGGGAAAAATTTTCAAAAGTTGAGTTGAAAAAATTAATTTTTTGTGAAAAAGTTGTCATTTTATATCCCCCCTATGGACAGATAAAGGGTCAAATTTATAAAAAATGTTAATCAAATAAAAAAATATATATCTCAGGTTTGAATATAAAAAAGAATTATTTTGCTTTGTACATTTTTAACAAAGTTATGGCACGTTCAAGTATTAAAATATCAACACCTTAAACAGTGATTTTTATATAAAAATTACATTTTTTGTTCAATTCCGGTGGCCATTTCCTCATAGAGGAAAAGGTGTCGGACAATTTTTTTTTTTTCGAACTTATATTTATCATAAGTTTTAATTTTATATATATTAAAAGCTCGGAGTATTTCTGGAACATTTTCAAAACTTAAATTGAAAAAGTTAAATTTTTGTGCAGAAGTTGCTAATTTGAATACCCCCGTGGGCAGGTAAAGAGTCAGACTTTCAAAAAATGTATGTTAAATGAAAGTAAAATATCTAAGATTTTAATATAAAATAGAATTATTTTGATTTGTTCATTTTTCAATAAGTAATAGCAATTTTCAGAAAAATAAAATGATAAAAATTTTGAAATTTACTGATTTTAAAAATTGTAATTTTTTGGAGGATTTTCACCATTTACGGGGAACGGGGGAAAATTTTTTATTTTTTGAGGGTAAAGTATATAGATAAGGAAATAGAAAATCATGTTGCTTTTGGAATAATCCATCAATTTTTTAAAATTAAAAACTATCTACAGATTTGGATCGAAGCGTTTTTTATGATAGTGATTGTAATCACTGTCAGATTAAATCTATACTGGACCCAACTATGCCACATCCCAACTGTGCCGTGACCCTACTGTGCTGTTATTTTTTTAATCCTACAGTGGTCCGACAATATATTGTCTCGTCCAATGGGTTGGCGACCCTCGTATTATATTTTTCAGTGCGCCATGAAAAGTTGCAAAATTTTTCCTTGGTGGCCAAATAATTCGACTTTTTTGTTATTCTTGTAATCTTACAAGACTATGTGTGAATCTAGAAAACAGCATGGATAGAACCACTTATTATTAAGTGGTTAGAAATTGGTTTGTTAGGAGAAGCGCACAATGGACATATTCATTTTTAGAGAAATCAAAGTAAATTATTATAGAAAAATTTATATATATATATATATTACTGTAAATTAGATCTTTGTATGGTTCGTCTTGAACCGGTCCGGACTGAACCAGACTAGACCACGGTTCGGTCCGGTCTTATACTTCAAATAATAAATTGTATAATTGTAAAATAGTATAATAAAAATAAGCACATATGCTTTTTAGGAGAGATAGAAAATTATTTTGTTTTGTACAGCTTTATATTAGTTATAGGTGTTAATTTTTTGTTATAAAATTAAACGTTACTCGTAAAATATTTATCGATGTAAAATAATATGCTAATAATAACTTGTTGAACCAAAAATTTCACTTAGGCTAAATAAACTAATGGCTTTTACTTAATATTTTAAGTGAAAGCTTATTTAAATATATCGTAATAATTAACAATCAGTCATGATTTAATTACCCTATATGTAAGACAATATTTTTTTCTATTAAATAAATTTGATGGTATGAAAAAAATTGGGGTTGCCATTTGACATTCGAAATGGTAGCACAAAATTAAATTTTCGATTAAATTGCTCAACAATGAATTGTTAATGTAAAAAAAAAAAATTATTCACAAAAATAATTTCAAAGCTATTTCGTGAGGCATAGTTAAGAAATCATTCTGTATGTATAAACTAAATATGTTAAATTTTGTACAACACGAATTTGAAATTATTAGTTTACTCAAAGATATTTTTGAGTTATTGAATTTTTTTTGTAGCCTATACATAGTGATTCATTAATCATAAATCATTAACTCAATTACACACAAAATAAAAATAATTATAGTTAAAAAAAAACATTTTAGTCTTCTTTTTTTTTTAAATCATGAATAATTCTCAACAAATTCGCGAGTTCTTGAACTCAACTTCGGTGAGCTCTATTGATGATGACTTTTCAAATAGTTCTATTATTCCTTCTAACTTAGAGAATACAACTCAATCAACAATAAATTGTTGATTGAGTTGTATTCTTTTTATTAATTGTTGTATGAAAATAATCCAGCATTTACCGTCTCTAAAAATACTGTTAAAAGAAAATTATTGAGTGATTCTGGTGAATAAACTTTGTTTCCTCACGATAGGAAAAGTAGTGTATGGAAGAAATTTAAAAGTGTTATGACAACATTTTTGTCGTATCTGGTTTAATTTAGTCTGGACAGAGTTTTTTTATTTAATAGTCCGGTTCGGTTCAGTCTAGAATTTTATTTTATTTTATAGTCCGGTTCGGTTCGGTCCATTTAAAATTTCTATGTGGTCTGGTCCACTTTAAATTTCATATAATTCTTCAGTCTGGTCTTTTTTTTAGTTTTTCACTACATTACGGTCCGGTCTTTGAAAATTCGGACCATGCAGAGCTCTACTGTAAACCCTATGTATTTTTGTAGCTATCTATGAAGTTACAAAAATTTTTCTAAAATACTTCGTTACTAAATAAAATATGGAAAAAGAAATTTTTATATTTATTATTTTTGAGTAAAATTTTAGCGAAACATTGAATTGAATACTGTTATTTAGAATGACCCTCGAATTTAGATTTTATCACTGAATAACATATTTTCACATAAAAATAGCTAGTTTTGAATTTTGAAATTTTTAATAAAAATAAAAAAACATATTATTTATTTTTCTAAAACATTATAGTTTTCAAAATCTTTTTATTTATAAATGTTTTTATTCAGAAAAAAAATTGATGTATTAAATAAAAATATTTTTTTAATGTAGGTAAAATTTTTCATAATAATAATACACATATTATATAATCGTATTTTTGGGAGAATATGCATATATTTTTTAATTTTTGATTATATGATAATTATATAATTTCATATGGTATTATTAATATACACTATGTATTTTATCAGGATTAAGATTATTATTAAAATTAACCATAAGAAAATGATAAAAATATTACTAAGAATGTAGTTAGAGATAATATGAATAAAGTAAAGAAATGTTCTAAATGAGAGTATGGAATACAATTTTACTTTCAATTAATAATGGGAAATAAAAATTGAATGTTAGATTCTTAAGTATGCCTTAACTTAATTGAATCAAATGTTCATTAATATATCATAAAAATAAATCTATATATTTTTTATACACTTACATTGTTTTCTGGACCTCTTTCATTTCCTCTGAAAATGGATTTTTTGGTTTAAAAAACTCAGGTATTTTATTTCGATATTGATAATTAGATATCATATACTGTAAAGCTTTATCCACATTAAACATTGCACTATGTAAAAACATGATGATCTCTTTACCTATGAACAATAATACCAATAGACTTCAAAAATTAGGCTAAAATCTAAAAAATGTTAATCTTTGACTCTTGCCTGAGGAAAAATAACAGATTTGACTTAATTTTATAATTAATTAATTAATAATAACCATTATAAACTGTATTAATTAGCTCTTTACCCATTGGTTTAAATATGACTATTAGTATTTCTACCTAAATTAAGTTATCATAGTGTATACTATCTTTAAGAGATTCAATTATAGTCTAAAATTATTAACTTACCCCACCCTACACTATATTTATTATTATAAAAATGGTAGCACAATAGGGTCGTGGCATAGTTGGGACAAGTATAAATTATATCTAACAGTGATTAAAATCACTATCATAAGAAACGCTTCCATGCAAATCTGTAGATAGTGTTTAATTTTAAGAAATAGGTGGATTATTCCAAAATCGAATTTTACTCCTATTTCCTATTTATTATTATTAAAATAAAATACAATATCGAGAATTTTAACACAAAAATATCATATTTTTGAATACGGTATCTATTTTTACCATGAAGACAAACTAAAGTTCGAAATTTTTTTACTCATACTATAGTATGTTACATAAGCTTTAATTTAAGATATATAAAATTGCCATTATTAGGGAAAAATTTTCAAAAGTTGAGTTGAAAAAATTAATTTTTTGTGAAAAAGTTGTCATTTTATATCCCCCCTATGGACAGATAAAGGGTCAAATTTATAAAAAATGTTAATCAAATAAAAAAATATATATCTCAGGTTTGAATATAAAAAAGAATTATTTTGCTTTGTACATTTTTAACAAAGTTATGGCACGTTCAAGTATTAAAATATCAACACCTTAAACAGTGATTTTTATATAAAAATTACATTTTTTGTTCAATTCCGGTGGCCATTTCCTCATAGAGGAAAAGGTGTCGGACAATTTTTTTTTTTTTCGAACTTATATTTATCATAAGTTTTAATTTTATATATATTAAAAGCTCGGAGTATTTCTGGAACATTTTCAAAACTTAAATTGAAAAAGTTAAATTTTTGTGCAGAAGTTGCTAATTTGAATACCCCCGTGGGCAGGTAAAGAGTCAGACTTTCAAAAAAATCAAGGAACTTTAATCAGAAGCAAAAATATACTTTTATAAATCAACTTTTTTGGCTATTTTCAAATCTGCAATTAGAATTTTTCTATCACTTCTAAGTTTTGATATTATTTCTAATATTTAAAAAATGATATAATGAAATTGCATAAAGAGAAGTAATTTATTAAAAAAAAATGTATATTGGATGGAAATAGTATATAAAAAGTATTTATTAAAAAAAAGAATCTATTAATCCATACATTTTTAAAAAGTTATAGCAATATAAATTTAAAAATATGAAATAATAAATCGAGAATTTTATCCCAAAAATAGCATGTTATTGAATACGGTAGTCATTTCCAACATAAAGATAAGTTTAGAGATCAATTTTTTTTCAAATTAAAGTATGTTATATAAGCTATAATTTAAGATGTATTTAAAAGTGTCAGAATTTTCAGAATATTGTAATGAACTATTGCACGTGTCGTGCTGATACAGCATATAGATGACCCACTCAACTTGTGAATATTCGGATCTAATATTTTTTATTACAATTAGTCATAATTTCGTCACCGTTCTATTAAGTGTATTGATTATTATTATGATAATTTACGATTCGGCTATGTTAATTACAATAATCTACTAATAAATATTAAATACTGAATTTGTTTTTCTAGTCCTTCTCGCTAAGTTTAAGAACTAAACAACGCGACTTCAGTTTAATTACGTTCAACAATAGAACAACAGACGACTTGACACTGCACGCCGACTATTCACATACGGTAAAACTACCCAAGTAATCTGTGACAACGAAACAAATCGAGATCACAACAACATTTTGAAAATTTAAGTTAACCCTTTAGCAGGCGCGTCCCTATTTTTAACGTTCATAGTCGCGTGGGGGCCTATCAGACCCCATTTCTAAGAAAGTATAAAATACTTATAAAAAAGTTTATTTTTAGCTTCGATGCGAAGCTGAAAAGGTATTGGCTTTACTATGATGTGTTTTTTTTTTTTTGTGTCTGTTACCACTTTTTCTCAGCTCTCACCGAACGGATTTTTTTCAACGATACGTCAAAAGATCACAAATCGTATCTAGTCGAAGANCGAACGGATTTCTTTCAACGATACGTCAAAAGATCACAAATCGTATCTAGTCGAAGACATTACCCTTAAAAATTGAAAAATTTTCCCTCGTTCCCCGTAAATGGGGGAAACCTCCAAAAAAATTACAAATTTAAAAATTGCTAATTTTCGAAATTTTTTCAATTTTTTTTACTAAAAACTGCCGTAACTTTTTAAAAATGAACATATTAATATAATTTTTTTTTTTATAGATGCTTGATGACTTTACCTATCATTTGGTATATTTTTTTTATAAATCTGACCCTTTAACTGCCCACAGGGGGGATTCAAAATGTCAACTTTTTCAACTTAACTTTTGAAAATGTTCCGGAAGGTCTGACACTTTTATATATATCTTAAATTAAAGCTAATGTAATATACTTTAATTTGAAAAAAAAAAAATTGACCTCTGAACTTGTCTTCATGGTGAAAATTCTCGATTTTATAATTTACATTTTTTACTTTTAAAGGCTATAACTTTTTAAAAAATGTATGGAACAATACAATTTTTTTATAGGAAATAATATTTTTTAATAATCTCTTTTTCATTCGACATACTTTATCTTAATCAGGATATTAATAAGGAACTAGCAGATCATGTAACTTTTGGAATAATACATCAATTTTTTAAAATTAAACACTATCTAAAGATTTGCATCGAAGCGTTTTTTTTTATAGTGATTTTAATCACTGTCAAATATCATTATACTTGATTCAAGTATGCCACGTCACCACTGTGCCGCGACCCCTCTGTGCTAGGTTTTTTAAATTCAAAGACATTATTTGTTACCATATGATATATAAATATGGATAAAAATTCAAAAATAAATAAATTACAAAATTTTGTTCATTACTAAAAATTATACTACGAACAAAAAAACTTAATTTTCAAAATTTCATTAAAAAATTATATTTATGTGGGGGTATGCTAGACCTCCACGTGACTGTTTAAGGGTTAAAAAAGTTACTTTTTTGTAGAAAAGTTGCCATTTTGAAACCCTTTCTGTGAACAGGTAAACTATATACCAAATGATAAATAAATACCTAATGTAGACTCAAAAAAAAAAATAGTTTTTATTCATATATTTGTAAAAAAGTTTTAAGTAAAAAGAATTTAAAATATGTCAAAAATTACCGATTTTTAAAATTGTAATTTTTTTGGCGACTTGCCCCATTTAGGTGAACAAGGGAGATTTATCATTTTTTGTGGTAATTTTTTCGACTAGATACGATTTGTGATTTTTTGACATATCGTTGAGAAAAATTGGGTCTGTGAAAGCTGTGAAGTAGTATGGACAGATGCAAAAACAAAAACACATCATAATAAAATTAATACCTTTCAACTTCGCATCGAAGCTAATAAATAACCAAATTATTCGTTATTAAACATCACGTTGAATAAACCAAAGTTTTACTGATATTATATTCTAAAGTAAGAACTAGAATTACCAATAGGCTTACGAATTTTTTGGTAAAAACATTGCTTATTTTAATACTATAAGCTGTTCATATATAACTTTATATTTTTATTTAAAATTACCATTTGTTGGTAAATTATTATCCTGACAATGTTTTTTCAATTCCTCAATGTCTGTAGTTTTTAGTAAATCGCCGTGTTTTTTTTGTTCTCTTTCGAGAAATGTAGTATAACTAATTGCATCCGTTTCCAAAATAAAGAAATCTGAAAACATACTTTGTATTTAAAATCATGGAAGTTTAAAATTGAGACTTCTTAAATGTACTAAAAATAGATTATATATATTTATATGATTAATTTTTACTACAAAAATAATTTTATATATTCACTAAAAAAAAAAAACCTTAGCAAAATCAACTAATTTATTGTTAATATACAGTGAAAAAAATTTCTTTTATTTGATTGAGAAAAATTTGGTCAATAAGTATCATAGAGTATCTTTTTCGAGTTATAACAATATGTTTGTTTTATCAATAAAAAAGTGTGTGCTGTATTTTTTTCAGCGTGAAAAAGAAAATGTGCGTTTTATAATTTACCTTTGCATAAAATAATAAATACAAAAATGTTATATGGTTTCATATCCAATATTTCTGTAATAATAACTATATAAAATATATGAATAACAACTGAGATTAAATGATTAAAGGTATTACTTTAATTTTTAAAACTTTTGTCTCTTAAATTATAACAATTAAATTAAATTATAAATAAAATGTATACTTTTGTTAATCGTGTGTAAAATATGTAAATAATAAAAGGATAAATGATTTTTAAAGTACATAAAAATTCTATTTTAAACATACTTTTAAGAGTCTTTTTTAATAATAATAATTTATTTAATGTGACATCGCTTACACGTTTACACCATACATCGAAATAAAAAAAGATTTTTACTGTTAAACAACTGTAATGTAATTTTTTTAAATATTTTAAAATCGAAATATTTATCACTAAAAATGTTTGATATATGATCCTTGTTCTGTACAAAAAAAAATTAAAAATTAATCATTTATTTATCATTTATAAAAGGCAATTTATTTTTGGAAATAGACTCCTATTATTTTATAAGAATTTTTAATTTAATTAATTTTTTTAGATACTATAATTGACACGTTTTTGCGTCGCTTTGTGATACGTTTGAATCCGTCTGCCTCGATACTACGCATTATTTTATTAGCTTTTTAATTTCTTCGTATTTGTTATAAATTGGTTATATACACTTGAGCGTACTCTTTTTGTGTATTTAATTTGATGTTTTACAATAAATTAACGGCTTTATTTCACCAGTTCTACTTTTGTAGCTTGCATTATTTGCGGTCACTCGTCACCTAATCCCAATGGCTCCCTGGCATAGATTGTTACCCGGGTAAAGTTTGATTTAAGGTAATATCATAGATATGTAGTTAAAGTTTTATTATATATCTGTGGGTAATATTAGATGAACTCATAAATCTATAACGCGCGCGCAAAGTACCGCCGTTGATACACATAAAATTGCAACGATAGTGATAGGCGGGTAGTGTACACTGTTATCAAGATGTGTCCGATATAGCAGTTAACAACCGAGCCCCATATAAATGTATGTATTATTACTCCCGACCTTTAACATCGTAAATGTCATAGTAAAATGAATAATAATTATGCTCGTTCAAATTAGTGCGCATGATATGCCTAGGGGCAAAATATGCAACCAACCATAAACTCAACGTGACGTCACATGTAAATACATTGCGTTGTATAAATTCTATATTAAGGGGCACTGTCTCGATTTAGCCAACTATTTTAATGAACTTTTTTTAGTTAATTTCGGTTTCAAATTTTATTTATAATTTTTTTATTATTATTATTAACTTCAACTGTGTTGTAATATATCTTTATTGTATTATCCGCTACACTGTAGTAGTTTATAAACCAAGATTTAACTCGTTAATAAATCTAACCTGAGAAAAACTGCATAGTAAAATTTTACAATGTTTAACTGTATATAAATAATTAAATATAAATTTGTTGTATAATTACTTACAGTAAGTATAAATTGTTACATTATTTATAAAAAGTGTAGTTTTAATGATTATTTAATAAAATTTTGAATTTTGAAAATCTAACATTTAACCTGCTCATTGGGGGGATTTAAAATAGCAACTTTTTTACAAAAACTAACTTTTTCAACTTAATTTTTGAAAATGTTCCGGAAATACTGCGTCCTTTAAACATATATCAAATTAAAGCTTATTTTATGTACTATAAAATGAAAAAAAAAAATTGTCCCGCCACTTTATCTTCTACATTTAAACGGCTGCCGTAGTTAAAAAAAACACTATTTTTGGTTAAAATTTTCGATTTTTGATTTTAAATTTTCAACTTAAAAATGCTATAACTTTTTTAAAAATGTATATATCAGCACAAATTTTTTTTTCTAAATACATTATAAGTACATCTTTCATTTGACATAATTTTTATTAAAATTGGACAATTTCCCCATATATAGGGGGCGTTCAAAACTTGAAACATTGTATAAAAAATAGAACTTTTTCAAATTAACTTTTGAAAGTGTTCCTGAAATACTGCGTCATTTAAGCATATATAAAATTAAAGCTTATTTTATGTACTATAAAATAAAAAAAAAAATTTGTCCCGACATCTTATCTTCTATGTGCAAATAGCTGTCGAAAATTAAAAAAAAATGTAATGTTTGTGATAAAAATTACCTTTTGTCGGGATGTTTTTTGTACTTAAAACTGCCATAACTTTTTCAAAAATGTATAAATAAAAATAATATTTTTTTGTATTGAAAGCTTAGATATTTCCCTTTCATTTGATATAATTTTTTTTGAAAATCTAACACTTATTCTGCTCACAAGGGGGATTTAAAATAGCAACTTTTTTACAAAAACTTACTTTTTCTACTTAATTTTTGAAAATGTTCCAGAAATACTGCGTCCTTTAAACAAATATCAAATTAAAGCTTATTTTATGTACTATAAAATGAAAAAAAACATTTGTCCTGACGACCTATCTTCTATGCGAAAATGGTCTACCGTATTCAAAAATATGCTATTTTAACAAAATTTTTTTTTTAAATTAAACACTATCTACAGATTTGCATCGAAGCGTTTCTTATGATATTTTTTTATTGCTCATTTCTTGTGATGCAAGTTTTTTATTTATATTCCGTATTCTAAAATATATTCTTGTTCTAATAATGAAGTTTAGGACTTCATCATCCACCATAAGATTATCTGAATTACATGCATTTTTAGTTAATTCCAGTACCTCCTTTATTAAGCCTTGAGTTTTTCTAATATCATCTATTAAAAACTGAATCATTGGTATGTATAAAATATTTTACATTAACTGTATTTCTATAAGTACCATTTCCATGTAATTCTAGCTTCGATGCGAAGCTGAGAAGGTATTAATTTTACTATTATGTGTTTTTTTTTATCTTATTTTATTTTTTTTGTGTCTATTACCACTTTTTTTCAGCTTTCACAGAACCGATTTCTTTCAACGATACTTCAAAAGATCACAAATCGTATCTAGTCGAAGACATTACTCTCAAAAATTGAAAAAATTTCCCTTGTTCTCCGTATATGGGGAAAATCTCCAAAAAAATTACAAATTTAAAAATCAATAATTTTCGAAATTTTTTTTTCTTAAAACTGCAATAACTATTTTAAAAATGAACAAATCAATTTTTTTAAATAGATCTAACCCTGTATCCTTTCACAGAAGAGGATTTAAAATGACAACTTTTTCACAAAAAATTTACTTTTACACTTAACTCTTGAAAGTGTTCCGGAAAGTCTGACACTTATATATATATCTTAAATTAAAGATTATGTTATGTACATTATTTTTAAATTAAACACTATCTACAGATTTGCATCGAAGTGTTTTTTATGATAGTGATTTTAATCACTGTCAGATATCATCTATACTGGATCCAACTATGTCACGACCCCGCTGTGCTGGGTTTTTTTAAAAATAGTTTCTATGATTTTTCTTAAATTTATTAATGTAGGTGATGGTTGTCGTAATGTTCCAAATTGTTTAGCCTCTATCCAATCATTAGGTTCATTCAAATTATCTACAATATCGGATTATTATTGTAATAATTTCGGATATTTGTATTCAAATTTAAAAGGCTGTCCTCCTCAAATAAATCTGATGGATTATATTCATTATTAGCAGCACACTAAAAAAATATGCAATGAAAAGGTACTAGAAATATTGAATGTATTACTTTTTTTTATTTTTATAATATAAAAACATAATCTATATTTCAAGATTATATTATGCTATCTCTCTCATTCATTTAATAAGTAAAAAAGTTAAAATAATTTTTATAAATAGTGTTCATTGTTTTTTAAAATTCACATTAATTAATATTCATATATTTTTTAGAAAAAAAATGCTATGCACTATGATTTCCAAGGATGTACCATTTTAACCTAATGTAATATATTTAATATTAATTTCTTCAATATCGTTTTAATTTATTGTTTTAAAATGAATAATAATTAATTGGAAAAATATTTAACATTCATTATGCATCTTTCACATACTTAGCAATAATCCTTTTATTAATTTATTTAAATATAATAATACATAGCAATATGACAGATAAATTTATATTATAAATTGACACTTAAAGCTGACAATGAATTTTACCACCAGAGCTATTGCACTTATAAACTGCGCTAGTAGGCATTTTTGCAAAATATAAAAAAAATTTAAAATAAGTGTCAATTATGTCTGTTTATAATCACTACACATAAAGTAGATTTAAAAAATCTTTACTAAAAAGCATCAAACAAAAAAATACTCAAATATGAGTTAAAAAGTTACAAATCTCTACTATGAGACACACAGAAAAGAAATGAATAAAATACAACAGTTTCATGCAAATAATAAGAACTGTTATTAGAAATTTAAAGTGGTGTTAAATCAATTTTAGAACATGAAAAAATAAGTCTGTACACTAGTTAATATAGCTCACGTTTAATTAACGAGGTACAAAATCCTAATTTTTCATTAAAATATAAAAGTTACAACAAAAAAATACATAGAATCTAAAATAAGCATCCACGATACGAATGCACAAAAACAGAAGGCGATGCACTATGACAAAAATGCGGACTGTGATCGAGCATACTTCTTATTCATTTTACTATGGTAAATATTACATTCGCCTTTATAACAATTATTATCATAGTACTAGACTATAATACTATTATAACAATAATATTAATAATACAAACCGATGATATTTTTGACATTTCATATGCTAACGCATATATTCTTATGATTGTCGACATAATATTTCCGAATTGCAAAAACAAAAACTTGTATTTTTCATTTTTGTAAATTTTGTAAATACGATTTTTATTATGTCCAGTAAAATACTTCTCAAATGTACCGCAGGGAATTATTGCGTCAGTGGACTCATGGAGAAAAGCGATGTGCTAGCCATTTTAAAAACAGCTTACGTCATGAAGGGTTAGACCTATCACACGCTATCCTACCCTAACGCGCCGCCGCTTCATTACGCGATACTCATGGCAGAATACGAGTCCCAGTTAGACAAAGCCCCTTGTTAGTGCCGGGCCATTGATCCTCCCATACACGTGGACCAACCGGTTAACTTGGTCCCAGGCAACTCGCCACCCCAACA